TTCTACCATCCATTTTCTTCCTTACAAGTTTTCCAGTTGATGAAACAATCTAGTTGGACATAAGAATTTATAAACTTCCAGGGGTCCCAAAGTTCCTGCAGCCCAGCCGTATTAGAGTACACATGTGTTCCCTACAGCACAGAACTATAAAATGGGAGTGAGAACGACCCACATTCCAGATAGCAGCAGCAACTGCCATGGATGGAGCCTTCCTCATGGGGAGTACAGCTTTCTTTTTTTCTTGTATATTCCATCCTGACAGCAGTTTATCCTCCCTCCTTTCCTCCCAGTCCTTCCCCTGCCAACCCCTCTTCCCCAGATCGAATGGTCCTTCCATTTCCCCTCAGAAAAGGAGCAGGCCTTCCATGGGTGTCAACCAAATATGGTTCTTATAATAATTGCAATATATTTCAAGTTGCAATAAGTCTAGACACATCTCATATTAAGGCTGGATGAGACAACCCAGTAGGAGGAAAAGGGTCCCAAGGACAAGTAAAAGACAGCCCTCATCCCCCCATTGGGAGTTCCACAAAAATACCAAGCTCCATAACCATAACATATATGCAGAGGGCCTTGGCCAGACCTGTACAGTATTCCTGATTGTTGCTTCAGTCTCTGTGAGCCTCCAGAGTGTGATCTTGGTATGACTGTCAATCAACCAACCCATACCTTTGAGCTTATGCTCCAGTGTGAAAACACATGACTGAGTCTTGGACAGACAGGACAATTTCCTGTTCTGCCCTGTCCTATCTTGCCTCTGATGAGGAATTTGGAAACAGACATTCAGTTTTTTCCTTCAGCAAGGATGTGAAGATTGCACAATAGACACTCTGTGGCTTCCCATGAAGCTACTTTTCCTCCTCAGCACAAAGAGCTGGTGAAGAACTGTAGATAGAACACAGTGTCTGGGTTCTAATTTTGCTCACCTGCAAACTGTTCCGCTTCCATCGTGGCTTGATTTAAGTCATGGTTATGGTCTTAATTAACAATTTAATTGGCTGGGGCTTTCTCAAGCCATTTCTCTGGGGGCACGGTTTTCTGTTTAACTTTCTTGTTTCAACTCTTCAGCAAAACTATAAAATTTAATTAGGAAAGCAAGCAGCTTGGTAATGGCAGCCCTATGTCTAATTGGCTGTGTTGACCGTACGTCCTCAGATTCCACTCAGTATTGTATGCACATTTTGCTTTTGATCATGTTTCAGATAAGGCATTGTGAATTTACAGCCTAAGCATGCCAGTGAATCGCTTTTCACTTTTCCTAAGAGGCTTGGGTACAGACGGTGAAATCAGGAAAATTAACTTAGAGCCATCACATAGGAAAATGAGAGCCAAAGGGCAGGATGTGGCTGGTTACTGTACTATAAGTCTGTTTTCCATTGCTGTGGAATAAATTGACATCAGCTTAGCTGTTTAAAACAAAGCCAGCCTATTATCTCCCAGTCCTGCAGATCAGTGGTCCAGGCTCAGCTGGCTGGGTTCTCCTCAGGGTCTCAAAGAGCGAAAATCAAAGTATTCAGGGATGTGCTGCGGTGCATTCCCATCTGGGCCTCAGGGTCCTGTGATCTGTAGGAGCGTGTCCATTTCAAGGTTACTCGTCAGCTAGGGTTCATTCTCATATGCCAGAGGCCACTATCATTGTCATTCCTGGTCACATAACTCCTAAGAATGGTTCTCACCATAGCAGTTTGTGAACTGCTTTCTTTGAGAAGATGAGGAATGTTCCTCCGACCTCTTCCTCTGTGAACTCCTGGCTTCTCAAAGTTCCTCTGATTTTCTCAGGCCTGCCCCTGTGGTCTCCATTCTATTATATAATGTAACAACAACACGGGGATGACCATCCCTTCATATTCACAGGGAACTAGTCTGCAGGGCAGAAACAGAAGGGTATAGAGACTTGGGGTCATTAGATTCTGTCAGCTCTATATTATTCTAGGAGAAAGGGACAATACTCCTCTTGTCAGCTCCCCCCTTTTCTCCCAAGGGCACTGTACAAGTACAAGGAAGCCATTTGCTGTGACTCTGATTCTGGCCTATGAGCTTCACAGGGCAGAAAATGACAAGAAGTGAATTCTTTCTTCCCTGCAGACTGCCTTCTCAAGCTGGCTGGAATTTCTGCTCTCCACTGGGTGAGAGGATCACTTGGTGAATTAATTCAAATTTAAAATGACATCAAGGTAGAAGGATTCTTCTAGGTAGAAGATCAAAACCCGACACCTAGAATTCCAGTTTAGGAAGACTACTTCACCGAGAACAGAAATGAAGCAGGGTGCAGAAGAGGCTCACCAGAGCCATCCGACATGTTGTCGTTTGGAGGGCCTGTTTGCATAGCTTTGCCAGGGCTGGCATCTGGGAACTTAGATTTCCAGATGTCTCCTAGCACTGCCACAGACAAGAGGGACTCACGTGCCTATGCTGCTTGTGCAAACAACATGGTTTGTGCCAAATACCTGGCTTTCTTCTGGGAATCTGGGGTTTGGGTATGTGTTAGAAAGAGCATGGTGTAATCAGATCCCCATGAGAATGATAAGCACCAAGTCTCGAGAGAGCCTCCTTGGCACCCCTTTGCAGATGTGGGAAGCAGGCATGTTCTGTGTGATGCCACTAAGATCGCTGGGAGCCTGTGCCTGGGTTCCCCTGGTGTGGCTCATGCACTGTTCCCCTCTGCTGACTCTGCCTTCTCTCTTTCCCCAGTGCGCATTGCAGCATGAATGGGCATTCATGATGACTAGCACGAGGCCTCATGTCTGTCACTGAGTCCCTGACATCATTCCTCCTTCCTGCTCTTTCCACCCATCTTTTAACTGTCTCCTATGTTCCTGTAGCTCCAAGACATTTTCTCCATGGCTGACTACTTTCCTCACTAAATGGAAGCATTTTTTAAAGGAATGTTTCTCTGTAATGGTTGTATATACATTTCCTCTGAGATTGAAGTATTCTACCCTATAGGAAAAGGCTTGAAGCCAGAAGGTAAACTTCTCAAAATAGCCTCAGGAAGTCCCCCAAACTGACCAGATTTATTAGACTCCTCCCTCCAAGAGTAAGCAATAAATATCTCTGAAAGTCACTCTTAGACAAACCAAGCTGCAAAGAAGACTCTGAGAGAAGACTTGCTACCTGGAAGAAGCAGAAACCAGCCAAGCTTGCAGGGAGAGGTTTAGAACTGACGCTCTTGGAAAGGGCACTCTCTAGCCTGTTGATCTGCCTGCAGGCTGTGTAGTGTGCTCCAGGTTCCCAGCTTTTCTGTGAGCTATTACCTGTGCCGGGGTGCACTTGGTGACGCAGCTCTCTTTGAGTCATTTTTTGCTCCTGTAAGTAACCCCTCGCCCATACTCATGTGAGCAACCCCAACAGAGCTCATTGGTTCACCAAGATGGACTTTGGTGGTACCCATATCTTGGTCTGCCATGTGCTTCCTGTGTGTGGGGTGAGTCAATGTACATGCTGCATCTCCCCAGGGAAAGTCTTGTCACACAATTACCACTCATGTAAACATGCGTAGTACATGTATGTGGCAATCTGACTGTTCGATATATTTTTGCTTATTTATGAAATAATTGTATCACTTTTGACAATGGCAAGTGACCATTACCAAAAGTGACAAAAATGGAGAGAACCCTTTGTTTCAAAGCAATTGCATCACTTTTGATAGCAGCAAGTGACCATTGTCGAAGTGACAAAATGAAGAAAACCCTTTGTTTCTGTGTTTGATTCAGAAAGGCTGTTCCCTCAAACAGGAGGCAAAGTGATTTCACTCTTCCCATGCTGTATTTCAACATGGCAGGCTGGAAAAGGAAAGGTCTACTTGAATTTTCTTTGCTTCTTTGCAATGCTTAGTTAGCTCCCTGGTGGGATGTTGGGAAGTGTCTGGTTATTACAGTGGAGAACATTGTGAGGCAGAGACAGTCCTGACCTACCATAGGGTTAGTGCCAGCACTACAAGGCGAGGGCCCTGGAGGGAAAGTGTCAGGGAAGGTCCAGTGAGTGTTTCTGGGTTAAAAATTAGCACGAGTTGCTGCAGGCCACAAGGTACCATTACTTGTGTTGGGGTCAGAAAGCAGGGAGAAGAAAGGAGGTCAGTGACTTCCGAGTTCATAGCAGAGTCTGTTGCAGATAAATGCAATATTTACAAGGAAGATGTCAAATACAAGAGCCAACCAGCAGGGGATATCAAAGGCCGGGTGACTACAAATCACCCACCCAGAAGCCATTGGTGGACTCTCTCCCACATCTTCTAACGCCTTCATCACAGAGGACTGAGCCCCCACCCCCTAGAGGAAAGCAAAGCTTACTGTCCCAGGTTAATGATGAATGAGGCCCAGCCGGCAATCTGCTTTGCTGTCTTTTAGAATGAAGCCCCATACACCATGTTTCCTGGACCAGCCTATTTCAGTCAGCATGGGGTGGGGGGAATTAGTAGCCAGACTTGCCATCTTAAGTTTTTAGTTGAAGCTGATAATGGTAAGCAGTGACAAAATGATGACTCTCCCTCCAAATCTACACAACTGACCAGAGAGTGAATGAGCAATACCTTCAGCCTTTGCTGAGAAAAACCTTGAAACACAGAAATGTTAACAACCGACCGCCGAGTTTCATCTTCCTTAAAAGTTTAATCCAAAGAAGGTAGGGATGATTTAGGAAGATTTCAAAAGGGAAAGGTGGAGTTCTGAAAACTGTCAGATAAGTTCACAACCCCGAAGAAAACACTGACCATTTACCACTTCTAGAATATTCCAGATGCCCACTGGGAATACAACAGTGAACAAAACCTCTCAGGAAGTGTCCATTCCACCTGGCAGCCGGGTAACCAGTGAAGTAGTAAATAAACAGTGTGCTGCCTCATCTGCATTCCCCCCTCCTTCCCGTGCTCTCCCACGCTGTCTCTTTACCTGCTTCCTCAGGCCAAGCATTCTAACTATTCAACCCCAGTGAGCAGAGTCAAATCACAAGTAACAGCCCCAGGCTTGAGCATAGGACCAGCTTATGAGCTCATGCTCCATTACCTGGAGTCGGCGGTAGATGTTCTTGAATGCAAACACTTCCTCTTCAGTTCTGGGTGTGAGTCTTATCACCTTATCACTACAAAAGAGGGGAGAAGGCCAGAATTACTATTTAAGGGTAAAGACCAACATCATCTTCCTTCCTTCCTTCCTTCCTTCCTTCCTTCCTTCCTTCCTTCCTTCCTTCCTTCCTTCCTTCCTTCCTTCCTTCCTTCTCTCCCTCTCCCTCCCTCCCTCCCTCCCTTCCTTTCCTTTTCTTCAGAACAAAGAAGAGTTTACATTGCTAATGGTGTGGCAGGCATGAGCATAGCAAGAAATGACTGCTAGTCTTTGCTGTCTTTTTTAAACCCTTTTAAGAAACGTTCTGTGCTTTTAATAAGAGCACTACAGCTTTTCATTGAACCTTAAGTATTTGAACCAGCTGTTGGTATTCTCTGTTTGGATCCAGTCTCTTTTCCTAGTCCGAATCATCTTTCGTATTTCATCAAGGAGTGGAGGATATAGACTCACATATATCATGCTTTTACCTTTTAGAATGGCAGTTTCCAAGATGAGGTAAGGCTAATGTGGAAGGCACCAACCCCAGGGTGACAGTTTTTAGGTCTGTGTGCTCACTTCTAATCCTTTAGCCGCGCCATTTCCAATGACCTCATCCCATCTTCTTCTGGTGTATGAATGAAAAGCCTTCCTGGCTTGCTGACAGTAACCTCTTGCATTTTGAGCAGCCTTACTCTAATGCAGTTTTATGCTTTCTTTCTTTTCTTTTTTCCCCCCCAAAACCGTAGCAAACAACCTCTCAGAATCAATGTCAGGAAATCCATATGAAGGAACGCAGAAGGAAAAACTGTCAAGTCTTGTCTAAAGCAATGCTAAATGTAACCTCGGGAATGTAAGCAGGAGAGCATTGCTTTCATCACTGGCACAGATGCCTCTGACCTTTGTTTTTCTGGATTCATCAGACCCTGGCCTCTCCCACCTGACCCAATACTAATCTTGGCAGCAATAGGCAACTCAGCTGGCTGCCGTGGCTTTTCTGATGGATGGATCACCTGACAGCTTGCTGAGAAACAGCTCCATCTGGGGCCCTGTCAGCTCCTCCAGCGCGCAGAGGAAGCAATCTGTAGCTGTTTTACAGCCACAGGGAGGGGTTTTTAAAAAGATGGATAATTCAACCTGGCAAGTGGTTCTTCTTCGGAGAGTACAGGGGATAAAGAGCCCACCACCCCTGGGATTATTTAACTCTGAAAATGGAAGCTCAAACTCAGCATTGCCAATTTTATAACAAAATGGTCACTTTATCCAAGCCTTTATAAATTCGCAGGCATGATTGCAGAAATGTATTTACTGCTACTTGCTCCTCAAAGAACAGAAAGCAGAGGCTGCTACACAGGGGAGGCAGCAGAACGTAGGCCCTTCCTTTCGCAAACCAGTAATATGTGTGGACGGAATAATCAGTAACCCAAATCCACCAAGAGCTCTTTCTTTAGCAGGGATATCCACATGGCCCCAAATGTCCCTGTTTCTTTCACCAAACAAAAAGCTTATTCTTCCTGGATCTGACAGCCAGTGTTTTTCTGAAGCAGGAGCCATAATTTGGTACTGTAAACAGGGAGGTTTTGGTATTAAGTTTAGAGAAAAACACAGCTGGGTATAACGATCCAAGATGACCCCAAGTTTTCCTTTTCATATGTGAAAGTTAGATAATAATCCAGTGTCAGACCTCACTTCCAATTTGTTTGAAACAGGAGAGTCCACACAGGCTGGCTGATCACTGGACTTCTGTGGGTTCTCCTGCCTCTCTCTCATCTTCCTGAGGGGCACTGGGACAGGACTAAGAAATCAAGTGTAGCTTTCTGCAGTGTCTCAACTATTTCTCCTGTGGGTCACAGTCCACCCTAGCAGGGAAATGTTGGTGACAGGAGCTCGAAGCATCTGGCTGCATTGATCTGTATAGTCAGAAGGCAGAGTGTGATCAGTGTAGGTGCTCTGGGGGTTCCTCCTTTCCATAGTCTATGGCTCAAGCCTAGGGAATGGTGCCACCCATGTTTATGGTGGATCTCTCTTCCTCAATGAATCTAATCAACATAATTCCCTGCACATACCCAGAGGCTTGTCTCCTAGGTGATGATAGTGGTTACCTTGATACAATGGTAAATAACCATTACATGTGGGTTCTGGTGATCCAAACTCAAGTCCTCACACTTGTACAGCAAGTAATTGACTCGCTGAACTATCTCCCCAGTCCTGATAGATTCTCTTTATAATCCATGAATTTATAGGTGATGATACTGTTAAGAGCTTTGGATTAGAGATCAGTGAATCAGGCAACTGAATATGGGTTAAAGTTGGAGAGATCACTGGGCAAGTAGGCACTCGTGCATGTTTGTCAACCAGATACTTATTTCTAACTCAGCGAGTCTATGTAGAGTTGTCTGAAGGACAGCATGCTAGCGTGTGTGTGTGTGTGTGTGTGTGTGTGTGTGTGTGTGTGTGTGTGTGTGTGTGTGTGTGTGTGTGTGGTGCTGGGACTGAACCCAGGGTCTTGTATATTCTAGACAAACACTCTACTGCAGGGCTACTTTCTCAGGTCAGTTTGAGGAAGTAGCACAGAATGAGCAAGATATTTCATACGTCCCCTGTTCTTCACAGAAGTCCTAGCCCCTAGCTTCCTATTTGGGCCTGTTATAAGAATCTAAGTGTTGGCCTCCCAGTCCTGTTTCCATGGTCCAGCCTCCTAGAACCATGTGACACCAGGGTTATGTTTCAAGTCTAATTTTGCTTTGTTCTCAAGTACTTGGCCTCTAGGAGTTTCTTCTTCCCATAAAATAATTTTTCTACTAAATCAGTGACAGGGTGGTAAAAACATAGGCTCCAAAGTCAAGTGGTCATGCTAGTATGTGTGACCTTGGACAAGATTTTTAACCTTCGTCCCTCACTTTTTCCATCTGAAGACTTGGGATTCTGACACTAAATCCAAGAATTATCCACTGCACTGAGTGACTATAATGTATTTAGAGCAAGGGCTATTTGTTTGATATGATTTTGATTTTGAATTTGCTGCATTTTTTCCCTTGGAGTGTTCCTGACTATACTGAGTCCTCTGTGTTCCTTGGTTTTCTCGCTCATTGAACAAAAAATACAATGTAATTCTCTTCAAAGGATGCTGTTTATGTAGACCTGTCTTCCTTAAGTGGTCGGTTGATCGGTATATTTTAACTCCTTTCTTCCAGGCACCCACCTAACATGAAGTCTACATTAACACTGCTGGTGGAAGATAAGGTAGGACAGAGAGAGAGAGAGTGTGTGTGTGTATGTTCACTCTCTAGGAAAAGGATGGCTGCTGAGCTAGTCAGATCCTATCTTCAGGAGTTTTCACTTGAGAAATAACATCAGTTAATTTCAAGAGCACCAGACACAGAGGTCTCGTATTTTTTTTGTACTAAATTTCTGTCATCTGATGTATCTTGACATCTTTGCAAACCTTACAAGCGCACCAGCATCAAAACACATACTTCACTAAATTTTCTCATGTCTTTCTTCAGGTTATAGGCCTCATCTTCTCTGGTAGTCCTCTTTGCTTAGGTGGAGAAGCGGGGTAGGGTTTCATTCTAATATGTCCTCTGGCTATTTCTAAATCCCCTTGACCAGAATGTTTAAACATTTAGAGCCAACAAGTTCTAGTTCTTAAACCAGGGGAAACACCAATGTCTTACTGCATAGCAATTTTGCAAGAATTGTTTCATAAGATTATATTAAGTGCCAGGCCCAGGGTGTGCCAGGGTACCAGTGTTTTTGATTATGCATTCCTCCTCTCAGTGGGATAGGTCTGGGAAAAGCCCCACATTCTACGATTGTGAAGCATCACACGTGTTATCACTACTAGGAGGATAACATTCTTGTCTTTTAATTTGAAGCTTATTTGCTATTCTCTCAGACAGCAATTCAGCATATGCGGTATAAATGTCAACTCATCCCATCATTTCTAACAACAGAGACTGGGGGCATTGGGCAGTGTATAATGAAAAGGGAAAATTACTTCAGAGAAAATCCTGTAGAGATTTTGCTATTGACTTAAGCCGCATGTTCAGCTTTCCTATATTACAGAAACTACAACCTGATTAGTTGTAGTAAAGGGTTTCTGGGCTGCCTTTCACAAGGGATCCGAAGAGATGACTGTAATGGAATTCTGGGTGCCTTTCAAGACTCAGTCCCCCTGCTCAAGGTCCTGCTCAGACACTCACATTCTCCCTTGTCAGGACTGAGTGGTTAGGTTAATTCCTCACTGTGTCAGCACTAAGAGGTGGAGCTAAACGGAGGGTATGAGTAAATCATGGGCATGGAGCCCCCATTAATGGATGGATGTTTTCTCTTGGGAATGGGTCAACTAGTGTAGGAGTTATACCTCCTTTTATTTTCTACATGTGTCTGCTTGTTCTGCGTTTTCGCAGTGAAGGGAACAGCGATAAGTCCTTGCCAGACACTGAGCCTATGTTGGTACCTGATCTTGAATTTTGAGCCCCCAGAACTATGAACTAAATATATCTCTTTTGTTCACCAATATCCCACTCTCAGGTATTGGGATAGAGCACCAGAAAGCAGATGAGGACACAGATCCTGAGTAGTTCCTAGGGATTTTGGTTAATCTGGGGATGGGCATGCATTATAAATTAGCCTAATCAGACAGAAAGTACAGATGAGTGGGAGTGGGAGACATTCATTTTCTTGTTAAGCATAAACAAGGAAGTGTGTCACCCTGGTTGCTACTATCACCCTGTAAGCATGAAGGCAAAAGCCTGCGGTGAAGCAGCTCACTGTCCCCTCACTGCACTGTGGATGACTGAATCTAGGGACAGAGAACATCTGGGTCTGCAATGGTCTAATCAACTCTACCCACTTTTTAAATTTTAAATAGCTTGCTTCACATGTCAATCCCAATTCCCTCTCCCTCCCCTCCTCCCGCACCCCCCCAACATCCCCCCCCCAGCCTCCTACCCTATCACCACTTCCTTCCACATAGGGGATATCTAGAGTCTGTCATTTCACTCAGAGCAGGGTCCAGGCACTCCCCTAAGAGTCCAG